GAAGGCCCGCATGCAGTGCGACCCCAGCCAACAGCCGCCCCTCTTTGAGTGGGCTTCTCTCTCGCCCCGTGCAGCGATGGAGCAGTGGTTCGACGCTGCGGAGTCGGCGCTTGGCCGCCTGCATGGGCTAGATGACAAACAGTTTTTTTGGCCGGGTTGCCAGGTTCAGTTAGTGCCGCTAGAAGCAGCGTGGGGTCAGGAGCTGCACAGGCGCTCCCTCCCTGGTACCCAACGTTGGTTGTCTTTGAGGCGTTTGACCTTGCAGTATATGAAGGCGGCGACTGACGGCCGACGACGGAGCCTGCTAGATTCGGCCAGGCCACTGCAAGACCTGCTGGAGGAGGTTGAGGAACCTCTGCTCGCGCGACTGTCGGTGGCTGAACTTTTTCAGGGCCTAGAGGGTCCCAGTCGCGGGGACTTAGTGAATGCCATTCAGCGCGTAGTTGACAGTAGAGTGCAGCAGGAGACAGCGGAAGGCCGAAAGAAGTGGAGGTCGTGGGCTCAGTCGTCGGTCGGTCGTGGAGGTCGGGCGGCTCACAGGTGCTCGAAAGGCCCCGCTCCGCCCCCTTTGCCAGTCCTTGATGACGAGAATTTCACTGAGCAAGTAGGAGGTCCCAGGCCACTTGTAGGGCAGGCGGCACTTGATCGCATTTTGCGCGATTGGATCCCGATCTGGACCAACCCAGCGCGCGACGCTGAATGCCCCCCGAGTGGGTGGTCGGCCCCTGAGGACCTGCCGCCGATCACGGCTGACCAAGTGCTTGAAGCGGCGGCGTCTTTTAGCCCCTCGACGGCCCTGGGCTGGGACTCCTTCAGCCCGCGTCTCCTTCTTCGGCTCCCCAGGCCTCTGGTTGAAGCTTTTGCGGGGATTTTAACGGCTTGGGGGCGGCATCCTGTGGCAGGGCCCCTCTGGATGGTCTTGGCGGTCTTTCTAGACAAGCCCACGGGAGGGGTGAGGCCCATAGGGCTGCTTCCCCTCTGGGCCAGAGTCTGGAGCCGCATTCGGCATGGGCTCTGCGCGGCCTGGGAACGAACGGTGGATGCGACTTCTTTTCTGGGGGCTCAGCTCGAGCACGGCTTGCGACAAGAGTGCGCGGGTCCACAATGCTCTGAACGCCTACGCGCGCGCCGTCTCAGGTGTGTCCACGGCGACACTTTTTCTTGATCTGCGCAAACTTTACGAACACATTTCGCGCGAAGAGCTGCTGGCAGCGGCCCAGGCTAGCTTATTTCCGATAGCGCTCTTGCGAGCGTACTGTTGCCTTTATCGAGGCCCGAGGCGAAACCTTGGCAGGGCGCGATCAATCGAGTGATCCAGCCGAACGGCACGGTCATTGCCGGCTGCTCGGGGGCCACCGCGTTTGCCAGGCTGCTGTTGCTTGGGGTGCTGCGCAAGGCCATGGTTGGCAACCCGACAGTGCGCATTAAGAACGTCATTGACGACGTCTCGCTACATGCAGTCGGTGGTGAGACAGTCATCGCGCGTGAGCCGGCAGCTTCGTTTCGGTCTGTGGCGACGGACCTGCAGCGCATGGGCCTGCCCATTGCCATGAACAAGTTAGGCCTGCTTGCTTCCTCCTCGGCGCTGGCGCAGGAGTTGTCCAGGCAGTGTGATTTGCCTGCCAAGGTGCGCGCCCAGGCTCACAGGGACCTTGGTGGGGACGCCACTGATGGCGCCAGGCGGCGCGTGAGCACCCAGCACGAGCGATTTGTGGAGTCCCAGCAGAAAGCGGCGAAGGTCCTCGCGCTTCGAGCGGCCGGGGCTCCGCGTGGCACCATTTTTAAGGCAGGCGTCACGTCGAAGGCCCTCTGGGGAGCCAACATCCAGGGCCTCCCCAATGGCAAGCTGAAACAAGTTCGGCTTGCCGCTGTTAGGGCGGACGGGAGGCTCCCCAAAGGATGCTCCTTTGAGTTGGCCTCGATGTGTGTGAGGGGAGGTTGGGTTCGGGATCCTTTGGTCATCCTAACGGCCGATGCTCTCCGCACCTACAGCCAGATCCTCAAGGATCAACGCCTGGCACCGGTGGTGGTGCAGTCTCTTTTTTCCAGTGGCCAGGAGTTGCTTCAATTGTCCAGGCCTTGGGCCCGCGTTCGAGACCCCATTGCGGCCTCCTTCTCACGCGTTCTCGCGTGGGCCTTGTTTTTGGGAACCCGTGGGCCCTGAAGGAGGCCACGGGGGAGGTTTGGGATCTTCGCCAGGTCTCCCCAGCGTTCCTGGCCAGGAGGGCCCGATTCGCTGCTAGGCGTTTCTTGGACAGGGAAGGATTGGCCAAGATCGACCATGGTCAGGGCTGGTCTGGGGGCATTTTTTGGCGGCCCTTGAACGAGCTTCTCTGCGTAGACGCTGGAAGCTTGAGGATGGCGGTGGGAGGGGCGGGCGGTGGGGGATTCGTGAGCAGAGGACTCTCCGAGGTCTCGTGATTGGCTCGCATTGGTGCCAAGCGCGACTTCACAGGCATGACTCTGCCCTGCCGTCGCACTGTCTCCTATGCGGGGAAGCTATCGGCAGCTTGTTCCATCGTCATTTTGATTGCCCCGCTAGGCTAAGCTGGC